CTAAATGTCAACTTTGTTGATCGTGTTTTGACCGTCTAGTTAAACCGGACATGTCAAATAGGTAGTTGAAACTAACAGCTAGACACGAGCCTAAACGACTTTTTTTTGAACTTTTTGGTACTCAACGGATCTTTTCATGTCTAGAATTGTTGTTGAAATTTTTTAAAAGCTCCAAATAGTATCCAAATATCGTTGAACTAAAATTGCATTGATTTCTCTCCTATTAAGCATTTATTACACTCTTGAGCCATACTTTAGACTATTTTTGCTTCAGTGTGAAAAACATCTCTTAGTGTTTTACTTGTATTCTAGTATATTAAGGGAGAATCTTTAGAAAAATTAAACTTTCAATTTCATTATCCCGCAAGAGTTGAGATAACATGTAGCAATTTTTGAGATAACTAAGTGCCAATGATATAGATTTACCTACAAATCCGGTAAATATGGGATTTAAAAGATGAATAAAATAAATAGAGAACATGATAAATAAAAGATTTTTTAAATAAGTATTGTATTTACGAGTAAATATGCGATTTAACAGTTACAAGATACAAAATTGAATATTTATGTGTAAATATCAGATTTTACCATATAAACAAAAATTAAAAAAACAAGACAAATAAAGGATTTATCGGTAAATCTTAAATCTATTAAGTGCCGATACCAATGACTGAATTTATAGATAAATACGATATTTACTGGTCCTCAACACCTAGGATCAAATTTCTGAGTAAATAAAATATTTACCAAGGACAACTAGGTTTTTGGGTAAATCGTTGTCAACGAATGGATTAACTACTAGTCGTCAATCATTGATGCCGGCCACAGTGCACCTAAGCAGAGAGAGAAAGGTGATACAGAGTAAGAGTTAAGGGTATTTTAAATTTTTTAATAGTATTAAAAACGGAGAAAATAGGTAAATGACTATTTTTTAACTATTTCTTTTAATAAATGGTTGAACTTTTTATTTTTTAAATAACTGGCCGAACTTTTTTTATTTTAGCAAAATGACTTTTTTTCAGTAGTCAATCAATGAACCGAAGGTCAATCAATGGTTGACCTATTCATTATTATAATTTATCAATAATTTATTATCAACAAACATATAATTTATTAATTAAAATTGATTAATTACTAATTGATTTCGGCTAATTATTAACTAATATTGATTAATAATGAAAAGTCATCGAGTTAATCAGTAATAAAATCAAGTCAATCAATGATTTAGTACTAATCAATCAGTGATTGACTATTAAATTAATCAGTGATTGACTATATAATTAATAAAAGAAACGACCATTTTACAAATTTTACAAAACTTCAGCTATTTTTGAAAAAAAAAATCCTTAAAAGGGTCATTGCCCTTTATATCCCTTAAAAACCTAATATATTAAATTCTACTATTTACTACTTATTTAAAAAAATAAAAGATTATTTATTGACTAATATCTCAAATATACTATTTCACTCATTCTCTTAATCCCAAAATACATCGAAATCTTGCATATTAAATGAAGCAAAAGATTCTACGAAGGAGATATGAATTTTTTTTTTTTTTTTTAAATTTATACACGATTGCTTTAACTCTTTAACTTGGTACATTTTCATTTTTTAATTATTAAATTAGAGCCGGTTGCCCGTCACCTAGCTTTTCACTATCCTTAGATGCCTTTATATTTTGTTCGCCATTAGATCGAATTAAAATTATATAATTCACCACATCATCTATATCAACAGGTCAGCATCCTTATTCTTTTTGTTCTTGCAATTGACACTTTCAACTAATTTTGCAATTAAGGTTCAATAAAAAATGACGTCTTCTTTTTTGGTAAATCTAATCACGTGACACACATGTAAGTGTCTATTAAGGATAATAAAGTTCATTTATTACCCTTAGAGCATTTATTGAGGAGAATTAATAACTCATGAAAACTAAGAGTTATTTATGACAGTTAATGATATTCAAACACATTAGATGACTCTGAAAGTCTAAAAAACAAGAATTCTAGAAAGAAGCCCAACACTTTAAACAAGTTACTATTTAGTGGGGGCACCTTCTTAAAACTAATGCAAATATAACGTTATAACATCAAGATATATAGGGTGCGTTTGAAATTCATTTCAAAATGATTTTATTTTTTGTATGAAAATAGAAATAAAAATATTTTCAATCTCAGACATAAATCATTTTTAAAAATGTATTTGGTAGTTTTATCAAGAGATTATTTTCAGTATAAAAAAATCTATTAATGTCTCTCTCTCTCTACTTGAGAGAGGAGAAAACGGAAATAAAAAAATGAAAAACGACTAAAAGTCATTTTTCATTTCTCTCACATTTTACACTAAACCAAAAAATCGTTTTCATTTCTTTTTTTTATTTTTAATTGTGTCAAACGACATTTCTCTCCCGTTTTCATTTTTTCTTTCTTAAAAAATGTGAAAAAAAACAAAAATAACTCCAAACACAACCATAATATTTTTGTATTTGTTCAGTGGAGGCACATGCCCCCACTGAGCATTATGTTCATCCGTCCATCCTGGCTGAAATTAATATAGCTGAACAAATAATGTGAGAAATAATCTTGATTGCCTTCAATAAATGCTCACGTGCATATCACGTGATCAGAATAATAAAAAGAAAAGATGCAATGTTTGGTTGAACCTTAATTGTAAAGATTTAAAAGTTGATGGGTTAATTAACATGTAAAAATATAAGGACCAAATTATTAAATTTGAAAAAAGAAGTAAGCCCCGGATACATACGTATATGGTATAGTTTCAAAGAGGAGTACCACTGACAATTCAAATTTTAAATAGGTAATTGGCAGGTATAGTCCCTAACTTCTTTAGTAGGTGATAATTTGATTTATTTTTTTAATTTTGGCACTCAACTTCTTTAAATTGGTGCAACTAAAACTTTTTTTGTCAAATTCCATCAAATTTTTAACAAAAAGTGTCACGTGACTTATATTGTGTCTTTTTTTTAATAAAATGACTTAAATGCCCCCATTACGAAGAGTCGTTAAAGATAATTTGGGACTTTTTAATGTATATTTTGGGATTTAGGTTTTATACATTTCTTCCTTTCCTCTGCAACGAACCTAAAAACAAAGAAGAAAATTACTAATTAGCCAGATCCATCGTCCAATCAACGCCATTGTAATCCAGCCTCGTCCTGCCACAAGCCTAGATCTACAACGCCGCCACCTCGCAAACACAGATCCAATGCTGCCTGTAAACATTGAACCTCTTTTCGGACCCAACACTAATGCGATCACCCAACACCGAATATAATTCGGGACTTTTCAATGTATAATTTGGGATTTGAGTTTTATATATTTCTTTAGGGCCGGCAATATGGGTCACGACACAACTCGAAAACGACACGAATTTTACGGGTTAGGGTTGAGAAAAAAGAGGTTCGGGTCAGAATTGAGTCGACTTGAAATTGACACGAAAAATACGGGTCAATTTCAGGTTGGACCCGCCTAACTCGAACACGACACGAAACTCGTAAAAAACTAAAAAATACATATATTTTTCATTTCATATTTTAAATTTTATTATGAACTTGTGATATTATGATAGTTATACTCAAAATCTTATACTATTATTTGCTTAATTTCAATGGATGTTATTGTAATTTAGTGTGTTATGAATTTTAAGTTATTTCTAATATGTAAAAAATTAAATAAAAGTATACAATTTTTGTGTCAATTTCGGGTTCACGGGTCAATTTCGTGTCACGGGTCATTTTCGGGTCGTGTCGTGTCAACTCGTAAAGTGGTCGTGTCGTGTTCGTGTTGCGGTTTTTAAAAAATTTCATATCACGGGTCGTGTTCGGATTGACTGTAAATTTAAAAAAAATGATCAAAACACGACACGAACATGACACGTGACACGAATTGTCACCCCTATATTTCTTCCTTTTCTCTGCAAAAAACTTAAAAACGGAGGAGAGAATCGCCAATTAGCGAGATCCATCGTCCAACCTATGTCGTTGCAATCCAGCCTCGTCCTGCCCCAAGCCCATATCTGTAATGCCGCCACCTTACAAACACAAATCCAATGCTGCATGTAAACGCCAAACCCCCTTTCAGACCCAACACTGATGTGATCACCTCCCTGGCGAAGCCCCACTCTCGCGACCCACCCCATCTTCAAGTTTGCTCAACCCTGTAAACACCGTTGGCTTTGTGATCTCCATCCATTGTGCGAGCCTAGTTCGTCCTTCAATGGTTGAGGAAAAACAAACCCAAAAAAAAAAAAAAAAGAAGAAGACAACAGGTTGATGAATTTGTATGTGGTGGGGGAGTTGTTTAAATATGTAGTCAGAAATTGGATAACAATGTCATCAAAAATTAGGTTATCAAAGTTGGGTTCGTCCTGCAACACTTTCTTGTTTAGTTTTGAAGAGGTTAAGGATAGAGAAAAAGATCTGGACGGATATATATGAGTTGTGCTCATATGGATTTTGATCTGATACGGTTTTAGAGTTTTTTTAGACGTTTTGTTTTTTATCAGTTATATTTGATTTTGCTTCATGGGTTTTGTTTTTCGAAGCATTGATGTGGGTTCATTTTAGTTTTTTTTTGTATTGTGTTCAATTTGATTCTCAACTTTATCATATCATTTGAGTTGTTTTTCTAAACAAACGATTTAAGGACAATTTTGTCTTTTCAGTATAAAAGGAGTCACATAGAGCGTCACATAGGGTGCGTTTGGAATTGGTTCCAAAACGTTTTTGTTTTCTGTACGAAAATAAAAATGAAAACGTTTTCATTTTCATTTTTGAATTATTTCTGAAAATGCGTTTGGTAGTTTTATTTAGAGATTGATTTCAGTTTTAAAAAAAACTAAAAATGCGTTTGGTTTCATTTTTGAAAACATGTAATAGGTATTTAATATATTAAATAAATAATAATTGAATCCTAAATAAAAACACTAATAATTAATAAAATAATTAATAAAATATGGAAATTACAATATATTAGCTTAAATTATTGTCGCCTATATGAATCCCACATTTGATTAGCTAGATGATCCCTAAAATCAACCATGTAATTACGTTGTTGCCGACCATCCATTTCAGATGTTTCTGCTTCTTGTGTATCCATACCATGTTGTTGTTCCTGTTGTCCTTCTTGTTCTCCCTCTCCTTCAATATCTTCTACGGGCAAATCGACCTCATATTGTCTAAATAGGGGATCATCTCGCGCGTGCATCTTAATTAAATTGTGGATCACACAACAAGCTATTGGTATACTATTTTGTCTTGGCATCCAATAATTTGTCATATGCTTAAGAATTGTAAACCTTGCTTTCAAGACCCCAAAGCAACTCTCTATGCAATTACGCAGTGAGGAGTGATAATAATTGAATAACTCTTGTGGTCCCGTTGGTTGGCCACCGTTTCTAAACTGTTGAATATGGTACCTCTGACCACGAAATGGTGCCAAAAAGCCTTGCGTGTTGCTGTAACCGGAATCCACAACGTAATATTTTGGTGGGAGTGGCGCCACGAATGGGTCATCTGGATTTCTTAAAATCTCAGTTAACACTCTGGAATCAGCAGCTGATCCTTCCCATCCGGTATTGACATAAGTGAATAGCATATCAAAACTACACGCCGCCATTGTGTTTTGAGTACACGAATGTTTTCTTCCTCTATAGACTGTCTGTTCATGTGCAGGTGGGATAACCATCAAGTGTGTACCGTCTATTGCACCAATACAATCCTATTAAAATACATAAGGCGTGAGTTACAATTAATTTAAAGTTATTTGTCATATTAGTAGTATATGAGCAGAGTCAGATTGTACCTTAAACCATGGCCAGTACTTAGGGTTGTGTTGAATCTCTGGGGGGACAATGTTCATATTTGGTAGTTTTATAACATCATGTGCTAACGCAGACAAAGCGGTAAGCATATTATCAAAATGCCGGTGTACTGTCTCTCCAGAATGACAAAATCTATCTTGTATCTCTCTATTGCGATCTGAGTGAGCAACCGTTCTTAAGAACATCATTAGAGATTCTTCTGCCGAAATACTAGAAGAAGGCAGTAGGTTGCGGCCTCGAATTAACTGAACAATTGCTTCGAACGTGTCTCGATGCATACGACACATTTCAAACAAATTTTCGGGATGTCCGTGTAATTGTTCTAAAACATATTCTCGTCATGTTAATGCAGAATTACGACGAGGTTGCCTAGTTCGCCTGTTTCCAACCGACATCAATAATTGGATATAATGTTGTGGTTGTTCATCATCATCTGATGACTGGAGAAAGTCAACAGCTCTGACATCAATCTCACTATCTGAATCCATATTAACCTAAAAAATGAACCAAGACTGGAACTAATCAAACATCCATATAACATTAACTAATCAAACGAAGAACGCCAATGTAATTCAATTCAACTAAAAACAAATAACAAAGTCTAACAAACACAAGTTGGAGAGAAAAATCTATTTTACATGCTCAACAATACTTAAAAAAAAATACGTCCAAGAGGAAACAAATAAAGAAAACAACACAATAATCATTCCACTAGGCTTCGAATCCATGAAAGATGCCGATGAGCGGGCATTTTCACAAACATGCTTGCCTATCAGCTAAATATTGCTGAAACAAATCAACCTTTTGAACAGATGTCTCACTGCGTAGGGTAGCACTCTTTGCCAAAACCTCTATGGCCGTGTCAACTGCACTGATGTTCTTGCCCTTCTTCTTGGATCGAGTAGTAGGACCCTGAGACCGTCTGTTTCTATTGTCTTCTGCACTCCGGACTTCATCCGAGTCTCCTGTACCCTCCTCCACCTCTTCCGGTATTGTGGCCACCCTTTTCGCCGCATTCAAAACATTGACGGCGGTATGTGCATTCATTGACCCCTGTCCAGTAGCAATAGTCCCAAAAAAAATATGGGAAAGTTGTACAAAGTGCTGTAAACCCCTTTTCTTGAATTTCTTAGCCTCAGGATGTTTCTGACATTATAAAGAAAACAAGAGTAAATACTCATGTGCAATCCAAACACCAATTCAACTCTTTCATATAACATAAGATGTTAAGAACATCAAAACTTACCGCCACATATGAATCTCATACTTCTTTTTCAGCTGTGACAGAGTTAGTCTCAGAATCCCAACCAAATCCTGTTGTTTCAATTAATGCCATAAACTCCCTCGTGCTACGTCTAAGCCTATTCACTTTGCTTTAAGATGGTCTGCTGTGAAATGCTTACCAAAGGGAGGCCCCCAGGGGTTGATTCAGCCGCAATGGGGGCTGATTTTTAGCCCCCATCAGGGCTGACAATCAGCCCCCATGGGGGCTGATAATCAGCCCCCATTGGGGAGGATGGGGGCTGAAAATCAGCCCTCATCAGGGCTGATAATCAGCCCCTATTGGGGCTGATGGGGGCTGATTTTCAGCCCCTATCAGAGCTGACAATCAGCCCCCATCAGGGTTGACAATCAGCCCCAATGGGGGCTGATAATCAGCCCCCATGGGGGCTGATGGGGGCTGATTTTCAGCCCCCATCAGAGCTGAAAATCAGCCCCAATGGGGGCTGACATTGAGGCTGATTTTCAGTCCCCATTGGGGGCCTCCCTCGCCAGCCCCAAAGGGAGGCCCACAGGGGTTGATTCAGCCCCAATGGGGGCAGATTTTCAGCCCCCATCAGGGTTGACAATCAGCCCCCATTGGGGAGGATGGGGGCTGATTTTTAGCCCCCATTGGGGGCCTCCCAGGCCAGCCCCAAAGGGAGGCCCCCAGGGGTTGATTCAGCCCTAATGGGGGCTGATAATCAGCCCCCATTGGGGCGGATGGGGGCTGACTTTCAGCCCCCATCAGGGCTGACAATCAGCCCCCATGGGGGCTGATGGGGGCTGATTTTCAGCCCCCATCAGAGCTGAAAATCAGCCCCAATGGGGGCTGACATTGGGGCTGATTTTCAGCCCCCATTGGGGGCCTCCCTGGCCAGCCCCAAAGGGAGGCCCCCAGGGGTTGATTCATCCCCAATGGGGGCTGATTTTCAGCCCCCATCAGGGCTGGCAATCTGCACCCATGGGGGCTGATGGGGGCTGAAAAGAGCTGAAAATCAGCCCCAATGGGGGCTGACATTGGGGCTGATTTTCAGCCCCCATTGGGGGCCTCCCTGGCCAGCCCCAAAGGGAGGCCCACAGGGGTTGATTCAGCCCCAATGTGGGCTGATTTTTAGCCCCCATCAGGGTTGACAATCAGCCCCCATGGGGGCTGATTATCAGCCCCCATTGGGGAGCATGGGGGCTGATTTTTAGCCCCCATTGGGGGCCTCCCAGGCCACCCCAAAGGGAGGCCCCCAGGGGTTGATTCAGCCCCAATGGGGGCTGATAATCAGCCCCCATTGGGGTGGATGGGGGCTGACTTTCAGCCCCCATCAGGGCTGACAATCAGCCCCCATGGGGGCGGATGGGGGCTGATTTTCAGCCCCCATCAGAGCTGAAAATCAGCCTCAATGGGGGCAGACATTGGGGCTGATTTTCAGCCCTCATTGGGGGCCTCCCTGGCCAGCCCCAAAGGGAGGCCCCCAGTCAGCCCCCATCAGGGCTGACAATCAGCCCCCATGGGGTTGACAATCAGCCCCCATGGGGGCTGATTATCAGCCCCCATCAGCCCCAATGGGGGCTGATGGGGGCTGATAATCAGCCCCCCTTGGGGCGGATGGGGGCTGATTTTCAGCCCCCATTAGGGCTGGCAATCTGCACCCATGGGGGCTGATGGGGGCTGATAATCAGCCCCCCTTGGGGCGGATGGGGGCTGATTTTCAGCCCCCATTAGGGCTGGCAATCTGCACCCATGGGGGCTGATGGGGGCTGATAATCAGCCCCCCTTGGGGCGGATGGGGGCTGATTTTCAGCCCCCATTAGGGCTGGCAATCTGCACCCATGGGGGCTGATGGGGGCTGATAATCAGCCCCCCTTGGGGCGGATGGGGGCTGATTTTCAGCCCCCATTAGGGCTGGCAATCTGCACCCATGGGGGCTGATGGGGGCTGATAATCAGCCCCCCTTGGGGCGGATGGGGGCTGATTTTCAGCCCCCATTAGGGCTGGCAATCTGCACCCATGGGGGCTGATGGGGGCTGATAATCAGCCCCCCTTGGGGCGGATGGGGGCTGATTTTCAGCCCCCATTAGGGCTGGCAATCTGCACCCATGGGGGCTGATGGGGGCTGATAATCAGCCCCCCTTGGGGCGGATGGGGGCTGATTTTCAGCCCCCATTAGGGCTGGCAATCTGCACCCATGGGGGCTGATGGGGGCTGATAATCAGCCCCCCTTGGGGCGGATGGGGGCTGATTTTCAGCCCCCATTAGGGCTGGCAATCTGCACCCATGGGGGCTGATGGGGGCTGATAATCAGCCCCCCTTGGGGCGGATGGGGGCTGATTTTCAGCCCCCATTAGGGCTGGCAATCTGCACCCATGGGGGCTGATGGGGGCTGATAATCAGCCCCCCTTGGGGCGGATGGGGGCTGATTTTCAGCCCCTATTGGGGGCCTCCCAGGCCAGCCCCAAAGGAAGGCCACCAGGGGTTGATTCAGCCCCAATGGGGGCTGATGGGGGCTGATTTTCAGCCCCCATCAGAGCTGAAAATCAGCCCCAATGGGGGCTGACATTGGGGCTGATTATCAGCCCCCATTGGGGGCCTCCCTGGCCAGCCCCAAAGGGAGGCCCCCAGGGGGTGATTCAGCCCCAATAAGGGGCTGATAATCAGCCCCCATCAGGGCTGACAGATGGGGGCTGATTTTCAGCCCCCATCAGAGCTGAAAATCAGCCTCAATGGGGGCTGACATTGGGGCTGATTTTCAGCCCCCATTGGGGGCCTCCCTGGCCAGCCCCAAAGGGAGCCCCCCATCAGGGCTGACAATCAGCCCCCATGGGGGCGGATGGGGGCTGATTTTCAGCCCCCATCAGAGCTGAAAATCAGCCTCAATGGGGGCTGACATTGGGGCTGATTTTCAGCCCCCATTGGGGGCCTCCCTGGCCAGCCCCAAAGGGAGCCCCCCATCAGGGCTGACAATCAGCCCCCATGGGGGCGGATGGGGGCTGATTTTCAGCCCCCATCAGAGCTGAAAATCAGCCTCAATGGGGGCTGACATTGGGGCTGATTTTCAGCCCCCATTGGGGGCCTCCCTGGCCAGCCCCAAAGGGAGCCCCCCATCAGGGCTGACAATCAGCCCCCATGGGGGCTGATGGGGGCTGATTTTTAGCCCCCATCAGAGCTGAAAATCAGCCTCAATGGGGGCTGACATTGGGGCTGATTTTCAGCCCCCATTGGGGGCCTCCCTGGCCAGCCCTAAAGGGAGGCCCCCAGGGGTTGATTCAGCCCCAATGGGGGCTGATAATCAGCCCCCATTGGGGCTGATGGGGGCTGAATTTCAGCCCCCACTGGGGGCCTCCGAGGCCAGCCCTAAAGGGAGGCCCCTAGGGGCTGATTCAGCCCCAACGGGGGGGCTGTTTCAGCCCCAACGGGGGCCTCCAGGGGAAAAAGAAAAAAAAAACAGAAAAAAAACCATATCAGATCAAGCATAGGGTAGAAAACAAACACCAAATCAATCGGAAAACAGCAACCGATTTGGTTGAATAAGCAAATCAAACGGCGAGACAACCAGAAAATAAAAATAAAAAAACAAATTGCTCGACCAAATCGATCTGAAAAATCAAACACGTTCAAATATTTTTGGCTAGGGGCATACCTTGGTGAGAAAACGGAGAACGGCGCAGATTGGACAACAAGAGACCGGAGGAGCTCAGGCGAACGGAGGTGCTCCGGTGAGAAGCAAACGACGCGACTCTTGGGCGAGAAGAACACCGGGGCTCGACCGGGAAGAAGATCTCGGCTAAAGAACGGAAGGGAAGGTGGAAGAAGAGCTCGGCTGAAGGGGAAGAAAAAATCGGAAGAAGCAGAAACGGGAGGATGATCGAGGAAGAAAGAAGAATAAGAAACCGAAAATGAAAACAAGAAAACGAAAACGGCTTTTTTCCGTTTTCAAAATTCCGGAAAACGACAAAGCCATTTTCGTTTTTGTTTTCTGTCACAAATTTTGCCAAACACGTTTTTTATCTCCGTTTTCAATTTTTTGTATCGAAAAATGTGAGAAACGAAAATGAAAATGCTACCAAATAGGTCTTGCACCAATTTAAAGAGATTGATAATTATTTTATAAAAATCAAAAAAATGAATACTTAGACTATCACTTACTAAAGAAGTTAGGACCGTTTAGTTTGTTAAAATTAAATATGATTATTTTTTAGCATTTTTTACTGAATTAGACTTAAAATTATACCAATTACTCATTTCAAATTAACACAAAGAACCTTTTCAAACAAATTGCTCAAAAAAAAAAAAAATTAACACAAAGAAAACCGTCAACTGCATTACAAGCTCAGCTTCGGCGTCTGTCCATTGCCTACCTCCTCCACTACGCGGCTCCCACCTTCCTACATTTTCGTCTTCAGAGTTAAGACCACTTCACTCTCACTCCATCTCCCTCTCTCTCTCTCTGCAAAATCCTGCCATGGCAGTCGTCACGATCCACGACCACGAGCTCGACTCGGACATCCACAACCTGTACGACGTCGTCATCTACAGCAAGCAAGTGAAGACTCTCCTTACCACCTGCCCCTCCATGGTCTCGTCCTGGATCTCCGATGTGGAAAAAATCCACCGCCGCCGCCTCTCCCGCCTCATCGTCGGCCTCGACGTGGAATGGCGCCCCTCCTTCAGCCGCTACCAGAACCCCGTCGCCACTCTCCAGATCTGCGTCGGCCACCGCTGCCTCATCTTCCAGCTCATCCACGCTGACTCCATCCCTGCCTCGCTCTCCGACTTCCTCGCCAACGCCAACTACAGCTTCGTCGGCGTCGGGATCGGCGCCGACATCGAGAAGCTCGCCGAGGACCACGGCCTCACCGTCAGGAACGCCGTGGATCTCGGCGACTTGGCGGCGCGTGAGTACGACGACCCGGGGATGAAGAATCGGGGGCTGAAGGACTTGGCGAGGATCGTCCGTGGAATGGAGATAGAGAAGCCGAAGAGGATCACGATGGGGCGGTGGGACAATCGCTGGCTCACTTGTGAACAGGTTCAGTACGCTTGCGTTGACGCTTTTGTTTCCTTTGAGATCGGTAAAAAGCTCATTACTGGGGCTTAATTAATTAAAATAATTAATTACCCAATTAGCTTATGCGTTTATATGTGTACTGTGGAGTATATTAATCTTCTGGGTTGCAGATTTTAATGGACGCTTGGGAAACATTATACGTTTGTATTATAGCCGTGTTTTAATTTAGCCTTCCAGTTTGTTTATAAATTCTAATGATAATTTTACTGTCTTTTTTTTTTTGGTAGAAAATGATGATTTTACTTGAGTTTTAGGTAAATCTTTTTCTGTTTAAATACTTATTGGGTTCATGTTGGGATCTGTAAAATGATGGGTGAATTTGGTTTGTTCTTTTCTTGTGGTATTGAATTGGATGTATTTCTGCTTTCTAAAAATATATTCTTCTTTGATTTACTTTTTCTTTTGAAATTGGATGGACATTGTTTCTCTGATTGGTCTTGATTCAAGTCCTAAAGGTTTGTTGCATACTATAATGGATATTTCAGGAACTTATTTGTTCAGGTACTGCCATGTTACTTTATTTTATTTTATTTTATTTTATTTTTTAACTAAAGTTTTTTTCTTGCAAATGTTACTGTTGTTTTCATGGTTAACAAAAAGCTAAAGTAACAACAGTAGTAATAAAGCAGCAGTACGTTTATTTCGCTTCGCTGATTCAAATTTAGAATTTGAGTTTTGTTACAGTAAAAAGTTCTCATAAACAGTCACATTTAATTTTTTTATTACAGTAAAAAACTCTCACATTAAGTCATATCTCAACTCAAATTAAAAATTTAAATCAGTAAATTAAACAGGATGTACCGGTTTATGTGTGTTTGACATGATTTTTCTCGAGAGTTCTTTGCGTATTCTTGTTAGGGGTGCAAGAAAAAGAAAATTACTAGATATTATTTATATGGTGAAAGCTAATCTCTCTGTAAATCGATATGAACCAAGGGGAAAAAAGAGAAGTCATTTTCGATTCAGGCAATTTGGATCGGTCAACATTTTTTTTTTTTTGGGATAGACATATAGCTCAAATGATTTTTAAATAAATTTGTTCGTAAAGTTATCTTTAAATTGAAACTTACGATATTTATGATAAACACGCAAGAATGGAATAGGAATAGAAATATAGTGGAATAAAAATGTGAATAGAATAATAATTTATTTAAACTTCATTGTTTGGTTGAGACCAACCACAATTATTATGTTATTAGACATTGAAATAGAATGGAATAGTATGAGTTTTTACTAAAATAACCTTTCATTTTATTCATTAATAATGTATTTAAACTAAATTTAAATATGTTTCAAGTTTTTTTTTTTTACTTCGATGTTTAAAGTGAATATTTTATTTGATATATAACTAATATTTAAATAATTTTAACTTTGATATATGACTAATTACTCAAATAACAAAATAAAAATAAACTATAGAAACAATATCATTCTAACATAAAAGTTCTCAAGTGTATTTTGCATGATAACGTCAACAAAATAGAAAAACATAAATATTCTAACATAAAAGGTCTCAAATGTATTCTCCATAATTAAATCGACTAAATAATAAAACATAAACCAAATACTTAAATATGTCCACATAAAAGGTCTCAAATACTAAAATAGTAAATTTTTTAATATTGGGAGGGATAATTTAAGGAGAGAGAATTTTTTAATTAATATCCGTTGTAGAATGGAATGATCATTTAACTGTTCACTTTAGGAATTGTGATTTAACCATTTGATGGAATAATAATTCCATAAGAATAACCATTCTTTAGAAATTGTGATTTAACCATTTGATGGAATAATAATTCCATAAGAATAACCATTCTTAAATCTTTTTGTCTAATTAAACATAAAAATGATTAGATTTTAAGAATTGTCATTTCATTTCTGATAGTCATTTCATCAAACCAAACGTACCTTACTCTTTAATCACAATAAATAAATAAATAAACAAACAAAAATTAAATATTTTATCTTTAAATTTAACATCTTTATCTTTAATCTTTCATCTCTAAATTTTATCTTTAATCTCTAATCTTCATCTTTAACGACACAACATTTTTATTCTTTATATTTTCTTTGTGTATCTCACCCGTTTGAGTTGATTATCGATATTGTGTGTTCATTAAGGCTAGATTTGTTTATAGGCTGCGTCAGTTGTGTCTCCAGTAATTTTTTTGATCTTGATCGACTAATTTTAGTCATGGACTGTAGTGGTTGTCACAGTCAATTTTATTTACGTTAATTGCTGAACGGATCTTTTCCCATTAGATTTCGGACTTATGTTTGCTTATACGCTTCATTCATCTTCACTGATAGATCCAATAAAAATTCATGATCAAATTATCTAGTAGTTTATGGTTATTTGTGACTATTATTAAGTATATAATTTATTAAATTTAAAATGAAATTTTCCCTTAAAAAAAGTTGGGAACCAAAGTACAATCTTCAGAAAGACATAGGCCTTATTCGGCTTATAGGCTCAGGTGGTTTGAACTTTGAATCCATAAGCTAAACCAATGATGGTCTTTGTAATTGGAGATGGAGCGGTTCGATAAGTTTGTCCATAACTTATCTGGTTATGAACTATAACTTGACAAGTTATAGCCTATTAATTTCTATAACTAAAAATTGGCCTATATATTTTCTTAAGCTTTTCATATTGGCATATTTTCTACTATTTCTCAATATTCAAAAAACAAAATCAAACTAGTTCAAATAATAAAAAAAAAAAAAATTAAACTACCACATTTCAATTCAGATAAAAAAAAAACTACCACATTTCAGAATTCAACTAATTACAGACTATATTCTATTATTCATTCATTTGATAAGGGTAATATTTTCAAAAAAAAAACAAAAAAATGTGAAATTCTGATCGGTTTTAAGTTGGTTTTGAATAATATTTTTTGGTCAACTTGCACCGTCTCATCCAGTCCCAAACCGCAAGTTTTTCAGATCAAAACCTTTTGATGGTTTTGAAAATTTTCAAATCAGATCTAACTATTTCTAACAATGTTACTGGACCAGACGACCATGGTTTGGACCATTTGTTGATTTTTTTTTTGCTTTTGTTTTTAGTTACTATATTTCACATTATTCAAGTCAAGATAAAAATTAAATACCAAAACTTAAAAAAAAATCATATAATAGTTAAATTAGCTTATATTAAAGCCTAAAAATAGCAAATTAAATTAATATTTTTATGTTTTTAACATATATATCTATATAATGGTCCAGTCCGGTCTGATTTGGGTCATTTATAAAAATTTTCAATCCGAACCGGACCGTTTCTAAAACAATTTTACCAGGTTTTAAACTATTAGAAAACGTTTTTTTACGTGGAACTTGACGTCCAGTCCGGCGGTTTCAGACAAAGTGCTATTGGTTTATTATTTTACTTTATTTTGAATAAAATTTCATAACATGATTTCTATTAGCATTGCAATAGGTTTACCCTCAAAACTAAATATTTTTTTTATATTATCTTTAGGGATAGAAAACTTTATAATATTCAAATGTCATTATATTGGAGTAAAATGACAAACTTTAAAATCATATGAAAACTTTTGCATATATGTCTAATGTCAAAAATGTTTTAAGTTTGAGTCTAGACTGGCCAAAACAATAATATTTGTTTGATTGAAAAAATGGAGAATTTATCTTGAAAGTGTATGAATTTAGACCTTTATCCCTTACTCAAGATAAATACTCTTTTATTAGTGTAATTATTTGACTTAAAAAGTTATAAATTAAGAGTAAAAGATAAAAATTCTGCCTTATATACTTTTAACGAGTATTTATCAAGATTATTCTGTTTGATTTAGTTTGATTTTTCTCTAAAATATCTAACCGTCTAAAATAAAATTTCATTTTTAGTTTAGTTGGTGGAAAAAACCGATCAAACTGAACACCTTAATTGAACCCAAACCCACCAAATAAACTTAAATATAAAAATCGACCCACTACGATAAAAAAAAAATAATAATAAAAAAAGAGCTCAACTAGATCGGGTTAAACTGGATTACATTTGGGTTGGGTTGGCTAGCTAAATCCGGATTATGAGTTTTTTTGTTCACGCCTACCCGCGTGTGGAGGGGCAGTGATCCCCTAACTCAAGGGGCCCCTTTAAAAGGTCATGTTAAGTAGAATTTTAACACTATATGACAAAATTTTAGGCTTGTTCTTTTAGAGTTTAACTTGAGTATAATTTTTGAGTTGAATTTGAGTTATAACTTGAATAAAACTTGTAACTTGAGTTTGTGTTTGGTTGTATACATTTGAGTTATGGTTTGAGATAAGAATCTTTTTGAGTTTGTGTTTGAGTGAGTCAAAACTTGAATTTGTATTTAGATAGTATTTTAATAAAAACTCAATGCTGATGAAAAATTTTAATAGGGTTTATGGGTCAGGTTTTATTCGTCTTTTCGTTGTCAACGCATAGAAAAAAAAATCATCTCAATCAGAATTAAAATGAAAAAGTTATAGCATTTTTAAGAATAGAAAAAATAATGTTCATTAATTTAAGTTCGAGTTTCTGAACTCGAGTTGAAGGGGAAACTTGAACTCGAGTTTTAGTCATAAACTCGAGTTTGAACTCGAGTTTAAACTCGAGTTTAAACTTAAAAGAACATGAACTCGAATAAAGTTGTAACTCGAGTTGTATTTTTTTGAATTTTTCACTCAAAAGAACAAGCCCTTTATTTTTTGAGTTGAAATTAATAAATTTTTATAATTTTGTGGGATGACATTTAATTTAAGTAACACATGTACGTACAGGTGAGCCGAATCATGTTGGAAACGAAAAGCTCTCATAAAAGCTTTCAAATCACGAGTCCACCAAGTCTCATTTATTTTATTGATTTGAGTTTAATTATAGTAAAAAAATTTTAAAAATAGTCACATTTAATTTTTTTATTACATTAAAAAGCTCTCAAATAAAGTCACATCTCAACTCAAATTAAAAACTTAAACTAAATGAGCTACACGTCTCTCCCCCTCTTTTCCACTACCGAATCCCACGGCCTCTCTCACATAACTTTTTATTTTTTATTTTTTCTTTTATTTCTTGTCTTTTGACCTTAACAGTTTCCATGTATAAATCTCTATCTCTATCTACAACTACAAGACAACAATTCAACAAAAAATCCATTTACACCTTTAACCTACAATTACAACACAACTGTCTGGATTCTCTTACGCTACAAAAGAACCCGCCATGCCCATCAGTATCA